TCCATAACCTAGTCCGGCTTTGTTGGCAACAAATTATGCAAAAGAGATGAGATGTGATGGCACTGTTTTATTTAATTAATACCTGAATTGCCTTCAATTCACCTACTTCACCAAAACCATAGATTAAACATACTCCGTGGTAAAAACTTGAACACAGCTCACATCCTCAACGTACTCATCTACACTTGCATGGCTTTTATTCTATGACACAATTTTCTACCTGATTATCGAAAACTTTTATGCTAATAATCTCACAAACGTCTGACGTTCTTTCTTGAATGATAAATGGTTATTGAAAGTAGACCAAAAAAGGCAAGCACCAATAATAAGCTAACCCGAGAAGGAATAATTATCTGTTCCTTTGAAATTGATATGTCCCAGTGATTTCATAATACAACATTTTATAAGTGCATTAAAACATAGATTTTTGAAAAAAAAAATTAAAATGTACCTATTTATCATTCATCATTTTATCCAAACTATAAAAAACTTGCCATGCAGTGGAAAATCAATTTTAAAAGCATAAATAATAATCTAAACATTTCATTTTGACAGATTCAGTAAATGCTCATAACAGCGGGTTCATTAAAAGTAGTGAAAAATTATCCATATGGTCATAATGTAAACAAATCTGCTGAGGGAACTTTAAAGGCCTCTGGGGCAGAGTCCTAAGGGAATTTACCTTGTTTATCTTTTGATGGCTCATCTACAGACCAAGACCTTTCTTTAGAGACCCTAACCAAGTTTCTACGCCCAGCCGTTCTCTCAAATTAGCTGTGACAAAACCCCTGTTTTTCTCCATAAGAATAACATGGGATGGGAATTTAAAGGCCACTGGGGCAGAGCCCCAAGGGAATTCACCATGTTTCTCTTTTGATGGCTCATCTACAAACCAACACCTTTCTTTAGACACCCCTACCGAGTTTGTACGCCCAGCCGTTCTCTCAAATTAGCTGTCACAAAGAAAAAAAAGTTTCAAATTAATATATAGATTAATAATAATCTTGATAAAATATAAAATAAAGTAAAAACGTAACATAAGTATAAAAATAGTTGAATAAAAAAGTGCCAAAATGGAGAGAAAATAAATTTTTTTTCTGTGGAAAAACTATTTTTCCAGACATCCAAAGGTTAAACAAAATACATTAAAAGCATATGAAGGGTCCACCGAAAAAAGGGGGAGAATCCAACAATTTTTTTTAGGTTATAATGCCATAGTGATGTATACAGTTTAAGGATTTTGGTCATACCATTTACGGAGTAAAAACGGGAACAGTCCAGTAGATATTAATAATTTAAAATATCCTATACAGGGGGAAAAGGAGGAGAGTCCATGCTTGACAGGGAAAGAAGGGGGAGAGTCACATGTTCTATTGCACTGGACTCAGCTGATCAATCGTTTTAGTTAAGGTGGCGTTACCCGAAAAATAATAATTTTTTATCAAAATTTTAAAAATAGGTTTTTTTTCTAGCTTAGACATTTGACAACACGAAATAATTAACTATAAAACCATTATTTATCATTAACAGTGTAAAAAATAGTTTTTCCTGGAGCGCTAATCAATTTGTGTCTATACTTCTATCATCTCTGGAAGCGTTCAAATGATATAGTGCTGTATTTTTAAAATTCTCATGTTAGTGATTTTGTTTGCTTACCTGTGTTGGCTAACCTGATTATGCATTTGCACAACAGAAAATTATTCATTATCTGCATCAGCTGTCTGCAAAAATAATGTTTTGTTTTTGTTTATGTTTCAAGCTTTGTTTTGATTTTAGTTGTGTTGTGTAAAACATAAAACCTTGTATTGTGTTGTGAGTAACCTACTAGATATAATCAAAATGCCTAGGTATAGTAACTAACTAACTAAAAAACGTAAGTTTTATGGCAATAGATTTATAAAACATACATCTGTTGAAGAAAGTGCCATTCCTTTAGCAGATTCATCCTCTGAATCTGAGGTTCAGAAGCCTAGGTTTAGTGTTGAAGAATCAGTGCATAGGCCTAGTGCCAGATTTGTAAAGTTGATTGATAGGCCAGACAGTTTTAGTTATAGTAAAAACTAGGTGAAACCCGTCGAAATCGACGGTTAGGGGCCTCCTCGTTTATATGGTTGTGTGGCTTCATTGGCAACAAATAATCCAAATGAAATACAGTAGTAATGTGGCATTTCCAAAGATAAAAACATACTGTAAATTGGCAGTTGCCTAAATATTGACGTTTACATGCATTGTTAATCAACGTATCTTATAAAGGATAATGTGATTTAGTTTAAATGGAATATGATCTTTCTGTCATGTAGTAGCTGCTTAAATAGTTTTTACTCTTACAGCCAAAATATCGTGTTACTTTCAATAATGTTACCAACCCAATGGGCCACGGTCGGTAATATAGGCCACTGCAAATAATTTGTCAAGATAGGTACCATTTTAAGCAAGGTTTTTGTGTTTGGATGTTATTAGACACAATAAGATCAAACTGAACATCTTCTGCAGATGAATAACTGTTGGAGAAATATAAGCCGAATCATAAATGTCACAATGTAAGTTTGAGCATTTTGTAACTATATAAGGAAGTTACATAGTATTTTTTAGGCTGCTGCTCATTGCACTTTAAGAATATATTTTTTAGAGATAAATTAAATTGCTTGTATTACTGAGTAGCGCTAGTAAACATGCACAACCCTTTTTACGTTAGTCTAATAACATTCAAAGGCTCTCTAAGAGTTCAAGAAAATAACGTTGCAAATACTTCCTTTGGACAATTCACTAACTCTCAATAAATGAGTGTTGTTTGAAATGCAATTTAAAATTAACAGCTGTTTCATTAAAAAGTATTATCCACATGGCCAAGATGTAAACGACTGTGGAGGGATATTTTAAAGGCTTCTGGGGCAGAGCCCTAAGGGAATTTACTTCGGTTTTCTTTTGATAACTCATCTACAGACCAAGACCTTTCTTTGGACACCTCTACCAAGTTTCTACGCCCAGTCGTTCTCTTAAATTAGTGGAGACAAAGTTTCCAATTAAATATTTAGATTCCCCCATGTTAATCTTATGGGAGAAAACCCAACTTCGATGAAAGATGCACCCCGAACTAATAAAGATAAAAAAAAAATAAAAACACTTTGCAAAACTACAGATTAGGGCCATTATTTTGACACTTTAATCATCAAAATCGGTCCAAAAATGAGGGAGGAGTTCTGTTCACAAAAATCGGCTTAGCGTATTATATATATAGATAGATAGATAAAGATAAAGCTAGTTTAGAGCAATCTTGGTTTAGGCTAATTAACATAGGCATTTTGAACGATGTTATAATCAGCTGTTGCCTATGCCCCGAGTGTCGCTGCAAATCTATGACACTTTCCGAAAACTTAGAAGAGCAAAAAGGCTGGGCCTCAAGTTTGTCAATAAACTGTCCTAAACGTCTGTTTTCCCACTCTTTTTTCACATCTGAAAAAGTAGATACTGGTAACATGTTTGAAAGTAATGTTAGGCTATGTTACTCAATGCGTAGCATTGGAGAGGCCCAGAAAGCTGCAGAGCTGTTCAGTACAATAATAAACATACCCCCGCCACCAGCCACATTTCAGAAATACACATCCAAGTTATACCAGGCCTCTAAAAATGTTTGTGAAATCAGCATGAAGCATGCAGGTAAAAAAGTTAAAATCCTGTCTGAAAATAATCGTGACACATCAGTTACAGTGGAAGGAACATGGATGAGGCGTGGACATACGTCACTTTATGGAGTTGTGACGGCTAACTCTGTAGAAACTGGAAAAGTGTTTACATGCACACTTGTAGCAAGTAATGCCACAGCTGCGAACTTAATCGTAAAGTTATCTAAAGATAGTGACACATATAAGAATTGGAAATCATCTCACGATTCTACTGCCAGATCCTGTTTACCAAGGTAATAAAAATTACATAGCTATTTTTTGTATTAAACTACGATAATACATTAGACCCACCGTACTCTACCAAATTTTAAGAAATAAAATAAATCAAAAAAAACTTTTATTTTTAAGGCCGTTACCAGTAACCTATGAGAAGTAATGTGACCTTCAAGCTCAAAAACGATTTTGCGGTGAAGAAGCCAATTCTATAGCAATATCCCCAAAATGGACCCAGGAGAAACAATAAAGAGCCAGAAGAAAAAAAGAGATAAAAAGGCTCCAAACAAAGAATGATGGTTTTAAAAAATTAACTTTACAACCAATTTTAGTGTACTTTATACTATTTCATATTTTACATAAGGCTAAATAAAGTTTAATTGGACTTTTCATTAAACAATGCAGTTTCATTCAAATGAGAATCCTGCGACTCTCACCTTCGCCTGTAAAACTGGACCCATCCCCTTTTTTCCTTGTAAAACTGTAACTGAACCCTAATTTTATAGCATAAATTTGAAATGATATTATTTGTTAACATTATTTTGCATTGGTCATCTACTATAGGCTATATGCTTTGGAATCATATAATAATGGTAAAACTAAATTCATAGATGTATGGTAAATCCTATATTAGATTTTAACCTAAAACAGCTGTTCCTGAAAAATTATGGACTATCCCTCTTCTTCCCGTGGACCCTTCATATAATAGTTATTCTTGGTAGTTTCGTTGGAGTTAAAATAGTTATTTTCTGAGAACGACAAAAAAAAACTTCGCCGTAGCAACTGTAAGGTGTTATTTCAATTCCGCGACGAACTTGACCATTCAATATAAGGTCCTCTTCTTGTATTTGGTCTAGTGTTGCCATGAAAATTTAACGCGGAAAAATATTTGTTTAGCTTCTTATTTTTGACTTGAAATGTGATGTGTTTAACTGATGTACTGACTTAAGACCATATGTGTATGTGAATTAATGATCACCTGTTATTTTGCATTTGTTTTGTTTGTATTAGTTTTTCTGTTTAAATTAAAGTATGAGTTTGATTCAACTGAACTAATTTACTTATTATTTGAAAATGTAATATTGGCGACGAGGAAAACGAAGAATGGATGGACAAGAGTTAAATAATCTAAAGAAAGCACGAGCTGTAGTAAAAGGACAGTTGAAGAAGGCAGAAAGATTCCAGTCTCAAGGTAGTCTTACAGTGACTGAGGTGAGTGTTAAACTCAAAGCATTTGCTGACCAGTGGGAACGTTACAACAGTATTCAGGACCAAATTGATACATTAACCGATGAAGAAAACTTGCACCATGAAATAGAATGTAGATGTAATGTCGAGGATAAGTATTTAAATCTTACAACAAAACTTCAAGAGTTGATTAAGAATGAATGTTCCAACACTAGGTCTACACCACTTCACCAAATTAGCAATCCATCTGAGGCGACACATAGTTCAATTCCCAGGTCCTCATTGTCGGGTAGTATAAATTTTCTTAAACTTCAGTTTATTCGTGGTTTGAATGACATAGATATTAGAGCCAAACTTCTTCAAGGACGAGAGAAACGCACGTTCAAAGACATTGTTAACGATGCGTCGGCAATGGAACTAGCTAAATCTGAAAGCAAAACGGTATGTCGCAAAACAATGGAACACCTTGATTTGAACAGGGTGGATTACAATAGTAGTCAAAGGAACAAGCCAAAGAAAATGTTGTATCGACAAACATGTCAAGAAATCGGCACGAGACCCAACACAAAATTTGACAATCTAAAAGGGAAATGTTACAGATGCGGTTCACCGAATTTGCACCGATTACAAAGTAACACTGAACAGAGTAATAAAAGATGAGAACCACCCTATTCCAAGAATTGAAGAAATCCACTCTCAAATGAACGGAGGAAAAGTATTTTGCACGCTAGATATTTCTAACGCATATCTTCACATGAAAATGGATGAGGACAGCGCACACATGCAGACATTGAGTACACATAAAGGTATGTACAAAGTTAACCGTTTAACGTTTGGTGTCAAAGTTGCTCCTTCCTTATGGACAAAACTTTACAAGGTATTTGCGGAGTGCAATGCTTTTTTGATGACATTATTATACAAGGTAAGACATCTGAAGAACTCTTGAAAAGATTAAAGGTTGTTCTAGAAAGATTAAAAAGTAAAAACTTAAAATTGAACAGAGAAAAGTGTAAGTTTTTTCAAACTAGTCTGCAATATCTGGGACATATAATTGATGCTCAAGGTATTCATAAAACAAAGGAAAAGGTCTCTTCCATCTTAAACAGCAAAAGACCAGAAAACGTAACAGAACTTCGCAAATTTCTTGGATTAATAAACTACTACAACAAATTCATAAAAGATTTAGCTACAATCCTACACCCTCTCAACCAACAACTTAAGAAAGACGCACGCTACGATTGGACCTCAAAATGCGAGAATAGTTTTCAAAGGGTCAAATCAGAACTAGCAAGTGATCGCGTCCTTGTACATTATAATCCTGATTTGCCTATGGTACTAGCAACGGATGCCTCTCCGGTGGGTCTTGGTGCTATTCTTTCACATCGTTACAGCAATGGAAGTGAGAGACCGATAAGTTTTGCCTCACGTAGTTTGACAAAATGTGAACAGCACTACAGCCAAATTGACAAGGAAGCCACTGGCATCTACTGGGGGCTTAAGAAGTTTTTCCCGTACTGTTATGGACGGAAATTTACTCTGATTACTGACCACAAGCCACTCGTATCCATATTCAGCCCCACAAAAACACTACCATCAATATCTGCTACTAGATTATTTAATTATGCACACTTTTTATCTGGATTCGACTACAAAATTGAATACAGAAGAACATCGGATCATGCTAACGTAGATTTTTTTATCTCGGTTCCCAACTGAGCATGCTTCAACTAAAGGCAGGGACAACTGTGACCTTTTTCAACATAGTAAGCTCGATTCTTTTCAAATTAGTAATTCTACAATTTCTAATTCAACAGCCCACGACAAAGACCTTCAACCAATACTACATGCACTTGAAGAAGGTAAATCAGTGGAAGCTTTTGGGTACCACGACAATGAATTAACACTTCAAGACGGATGTATATTCAAAGGATGTCGAGTTCTAATACCACAATCCCTTCGTCGGAAGGTTCTTGATGAACTTCATATTGGGCATTTAGGCATGGAGAAAATGAAATCCCTAGCCAGAAGCTATTGTGCATGGAAGAATATTGATCGAGATATAGAACAATTGGCAAAATCGTGCAAACAATGTCGTTTGAAACAAAATGAACCAAGAAAGGAACAAAATCATCCATGGTTAGCTCCCCAGGGACCATGGGAAAGGTTACATATAGACTTTGCTGGTCCAATGCAAGGACAGTGGTACTTTATTATTGTGGACGCCTTTACTAAGTGGATTGAGGTAATACCTACTAAGAATACTTCTACAGAATTTTGCACAAGAGAACTTAGAAAATTATTTGCTACATTTGGTCTTCCCATGATTTTGGTTTCTGACAATGGAAGTCAATTTACGTCTAGCGTCTTCGAACAGTTCCTATCAGAAAACGGGGTGTTACACAAAACAACTGCTCCTTACCACCCTTCGTCAAACGGGCAGGCTGAGCGTTATGTTCAGACTGTGAAGAAGTCCCTAAGAGCAATGGAAGACGAGGGAGGGAGACTAGACGTCAAACTCTTCAGAATGCTTATGCAGTTACGTCAAACCTCAAATTCATCTGGCTGTGATGCATACTCCTTGATGTTTGGCAGGAAGATTCGAACACACATAGCTCTTTTACATCCTACACGTAAACAAGAAACTGAACATGTGAAGCAAGCAACAAGATATTTTAAGGAGGGAGACAGAGTACAAGCGAGAAATTATTCAAACTCAAAAGACAAGTGGAGTTTTGGAAGAATATTGGAAAGGGAAAGCAACCTTCTGTATAAAGTACAAATGGACGATGGAACTGTCTGGAGGCGTCATGTTGACCAACTACTCAAATGCGAAATAACGTTACCAAAACATTTCAGAGGGGAGAATTGATGTGTTTAACTGATGTACTGACTTAAGACCATATGTGTATGTGAATTAATGATCACCTGTTATTTTGCATTTGTTTTGTTTGTATTAGTTTTTCTGTTTAAATTAAAGTATGAGTTTGATTCAACTGAACAAATTTACTTATTATTTGAAAATGTAATACAATGTCTCATTAATTGTTTGTGACTACCAGTCTTGTTGTGCACTGTTGACAACGATTAGGCTCATTAAGTAGGGAAATGATACAAACAGTTTTATTTTTATTTTGTACAATAAACAACAAAATTCATTCAAATCAACAATGATGAATAAAATAAATATTGCATTATTTTATTTATTAACTAAAGGATATTTGAATGTAAAAAAGTTGGAACATACTTTAAAATATTGCAAAAAAGATTACACCACTAAATACACACGTGTAAAATGAAATAGTATTGACACAGAATCCCTCAATCCATGTCATGGATTCAAAACGAGATTTTGCAACAATATATCTAGAAATATTTATATGATCTAACACGTAATGTATCGCTTATCCACCAGACGTAAATACATGACTAACTAATGCTGCTAAGCTACCATTTAAATATAGTGACTGGACGAAATATTTGAGCTAAATGCTAATGAACACAATAATTTTACTTATACTGAACTTTATTTTGTTTTGCAGAATGCTTTATTTTGGCCTCCACTAATGAAATAAAGTTGATTTCACACATTTATGATCCCCTCTTTATTCCCCTTCTAACGGTTACAGTTTTACGCTATTTAAAATAATGTATTCATTTTATACGGCATTAGATATAAATCTGAATAGATTAACTACAACCTTTTGTAGTTTAAATTTGTTATTTATTTATTTATTTTTACTCCTTCATCCCACCTAAATCTAACAATGATCTTGTCAAATGAAAAAAGTAATGACAACAACAAATAAAAAGAAGTTTGTTCGAAGATCAGTCATCAAACTTTACGGATGCAAAAAGAGTGTTTATTTGGGATGAATTAACGTCGTGAGTCTCAATTTTCCGAATTTACGAAGGAATTAGAACTTTGGCACTGTTTCAGGTGAACGAATTTCTTGCTTGTGTTTAGTTCTTTAAAAGCTATAGCAAGATAACAGTTAAGTAAGGTTATAAAAAATCTACTTGCATGAAACTGCGCTGCCGTTGCCACATTTTAAAGAGATACTTAAATATTCGATTCCCACATGGCATTAACAAATGTTCATGTTTAAATTATGTTCTCAAAATAAGATTATTGTTCATTAAAGGAGGTTAGGTTGAGCAGAGGAGGGAAGCTTCACCCGTCATATGGCTTTTTGCTGCCAAACTTCCCCAGCTCCTTCTGTATGGCAGCAATGAGAGGAACGGCAGGGTCAGTCGGGGCCAGCGTGGCTGTGCTGAGTATCCGACCCGGCTCTAACACTGGCTTGTGGAATGGTCCAGCACTGAGGGGTCGCGGTGGGGGTCTTGGTGGAGGCGTTGTGGGGGTATTGCCTCCCCAAGCTCCGCGGGGGGGACGGCTGCTCACCAAAGCTGTGGCGGGCCGGCGAGAATCTGACGTCTTTGGGCGGAGGATGATTTCTGTAGCTAGTGGATCACTGGGTCTGGAATTGGGAACAAAGATATACTTAATGTAGGTGATTCAAATTTCCACTTTTTAGTAACGAGTTAAATTTATAACTGTACAGGAATCAAGTTCAGGCGTTCGCCCTGTAAACGGCTAAAGTCAAGCCTGAGTCGGAACATAATTGAATAACGTCTTTAAGTTTAGCCAACTTAACAATAGTAATGGAAATACAGTATATACCCAACCATCATTTGCCCCGATCATAGTAAATATGCTTAGAAAACCAATGGGCAATCTATTCCATTGCCAAAAAAGAGAGACAGAGAAGAATCCTTTTCAGATTAGTGGACACCACCACTCGAAAAAAATTCGAAATAAAAACAAGAAAACCCTGAACCTAAGGTACTATAGCGATTTGAGGAATGTTATTATTATCATGCTGTTTTGGAGCTCTTTTCGATATCAGAATATCATATTCATATTAGACCCAACTAAAAAGAAGGTTGAACGAATTTTCAATTGGAAGCAAAACCAGTCACTCAATAGTTTTTGATAGGGCGAAGTAAATTTACTCACTGAGTTTATTCCGTGGCAGTTTAAGAACCTTTCATGTGAGCTTGGAACGAGCAGATCGTCAAAAAGTGTTGCCTTAATACTTTCACTTAAAGTTGTTAGACTAAATTTCTTTGGCGGCTATCTATGAAAGCCATCCCACGTATACGATAAGTCCAGTGTTCAGTAGTCTATCATTAACGCTTTAGTTAGGCACTATTACATTCTCTTCCTGTGGTTTGAAAGATAACGAAGTAGTTGTCCCAATCTAAAGAAATTACATAACACTGCTAATGGCAGTTTAATTCAATAGCATTACCTGACAAGAGCAGATCTGATCCGCTGGTCGCGTTGTGTCGTGGTAGGACTGCTACTGTCTTGATCAGGGCTGCCACTGCGGCTGCCAAACAAGCTGAATGCGTCGTCCAACAGCTCATGGAACCTGCGGCGCATTCTGCCAACCCCTGGCTCTGTCAGCGATAGATCTTCTTCAAGATCCACACTGTCTGTCCACACAACCAGACATTAACGTGTTTGTAGGGATATTAATGTACTGCAATAAACTATATCTTTAAATTACTAGTTGTATAGTAAAACAGGTCTTTTATAGCCATCTATACTTGAATTATAGTGACTGTTAGTTACTATTATGATTGATCACAGTCGTTATAAATGAATTAACTTGTATATATGGCGATACATGCTTGACGCTTTATTTTCTGCGGTAATACTCGATAATAAATCAAAAATATTTCAACAAAAATTTCACTTTAACATTTGGACAAGTGAATAACTCAGGACCATTGCTATTGTTTGAAAGAGGACATTAAATGCAGAACTGTCATAACATATCATAACAGATAATTTTGACTTTTATACAACTATGCCTATGATAACCATCCTTCTTAACATGTATGGTTTAAAAATAAGAACACAACTGTTGTGGGAATGATTGATCGTTGGCTTGTAAAAGATGCACCCCGAAATGTCTCCAAAGTTGATCTACTCTTTCCAGTAGTCGGACATTCCTTTTTACCCACTTACAAGAGTTTTTGGAGTCATTCAAAGGAAATTTCAGGATCTGAGCGTCATTAAGAATCCTGATGAGTATAATGAAATAATTGAAAGACACTGTACTGTTGTAAAACTTGGGAAAGATTGCCCTGTGAGTGATTAGAAAAGCGTACATTTTCAATTTCAGAAAGCTAAGAGGTTTCTTTTTACACGAAGTTAAAGTTATTTAAACTCCGTTTTGATCCAAGGAGAAGCAAATTATGTGTTTGAAATCGGCAAAAGTAAGTCTGTGATGAAAAAAGGAAAAAATGTTGATAATGCTGTTCCGGAAGTGGTACAAGAAGGACATCCATTGAAACAAGCAAAAATCAATTATGTGAAATGCTTACTAGATCTTTACTTTGGAAGTAATTGGCACTAAGAGCCAAAATTAAAGTACTACAAGGAGCTGTTCCAGTTACCCACAAATAATGAAAGTGGAGAGGATGGTGATAATGATTTTGAGCTAAATGAAGATGGACCTATGATTGAGTGAATGATGAGCGATGTTTTAATCACAAAACTTCTATCAGCCATATTCTGTAGAAATAAACCCATGATTTTGCTTTTTAAAGCTGGCTTTTCCTAGGCGCGGAAGCGGAGAGCGAAGAGAGGAACGCGGAGAGCCGACTCCACTTGTCTTAGGTAATTTAAGGTTACTGTTTTCCTAGAAGCGGAGCGGAACACCATGTTAATCTCTTTTCCGCTCGCCGCGTTCCTCTCTCCGCTCTCCGCTTCCGCGCCTAGGAAAACCCAGCTAAAAGGAGTTTTTTTGGGGTAAATTTTATCTAACAATATGCCTAATAATAATTTAATGTTTCAGAAAAGGGATAGCTTATTTTCATTTATTTTCATGTTAAGCTATTAACTTATTCTGGAATGGAATACACATTATGACTGGTTTTGGGACCGTAAGAATAAAACAAATGGCGGACTGTAAGTTTCCAAAAGTTGTTAAATCATTATTACTGTTCCAAAACCAGCTACAAAATTGTTTACAGTAATTATACATGGTCTAGAAAGTTATGCATATTTCCTATTAAAAATTCTAAATTTGTTCTTAAAAAAAAATTGCATTTAAATGTCTTTGATGAGAGACGATCAATACGTGTTTTTGTGTTTAACCTAAAAATAATTCAAAGTGGATTTGACCTGTTTTGGCATTTGGCGACTCATTTAGTCCCAAGTGGGATTTTAACTACTTGATACGCTCATCTGGTCATAACATGGTACAAAAAGCTAGTCATTGACAAACTTAAAATGTATTCAAAAGACCAATTCGATACTGAGGGTATGTTCTTATTACATACATAAATAGGGCTTCTGGTCCACTGGCCAAGCGCCGTAAGCATTCCCTACAAAATAATCGAATGATTTCCAGGCTTCAATTCCACTTGATGCAACATCAGGACCAGCAGCATCTTGTGGGTTGATACTTGCCTTGTTTTTGTAGCCTGTGGCAGTGCAGGTCCCACACCAAGGGCCCGATGACGCCAGGGTCTTGCTCGCTGCTGGCATGACGTGCGTGTGTCGTATTGGTAGCCGTGACTGTAGGCGTGGGAGTGGTGGGCGGCTCATCTGTAGGCTCTAACACCAACTCTAGAGGCCCGGGGATCGTTGGACCACTTAAAAAACAATACATCTTTAGGGAAATAGTTAACAAATAGTAACAATATTGTAATGTTTTAATTCCATGGTGAGTGTTAAGTGTTGATACAAACTTGGAAATATATAATAGGTTTTTAATTTATAAAACCCTATTTCCAGACCCTTGGACAGTTCGGCGTCTGTCCATCCCCAGTGTGAGGTATCATCCTGTTAAATATGATGTGCAGCACATAACAAAGATTTGCGATTACTCGCATTCTTAGTCCATGCTGTTAATAAATCTGAATTGAGTTTTGAAGAAATTACACTCTTGTATTTTAAACCTGGCCACTCTTTCATGAGTGCGAACAGCTTCCCCCACAACGTAGAGTTATCATTGAAAAAAAAAAAAAAAACACAGGAGAAAACCTAAGAATTCCAGAATTTTTTTTCCGGCTGTATTGAATTGTTGGCATTGAAATCCCAACAAATGTTAATCTCGCGGTGATCACTAGAAACCGTTAGAACATCTGCCTCACAGATGTTACTATTACTACAATATCTATTCACGGATGTAAACTCTTAAATAGAGGTAATTGTAACCGTGACGACCATTCACTAAGCCTCCCCCATTCAGACTAGGGTTACTACCCTCACTATAATAGTCTAACAGTCCTGTATGAAACATTGTATTATCCTCTGTACTTTCCATTGAATCATCGCGTTTCCCAATTGATCCATTCATAGGCCTAATGTGGCTTGCGGTAGGGGGATGGCCACTGACGCTACTCGCGGTTTATATAAAGGGGCTCCTAGCCCGGTGTTGTCATTCGACTCGCACCGCCGGTATGCTGCTCGTGTAAAAAGAACTGTTCGAGGTGAGTTCTCTCATTATCTCTCGCTATCTCTCTCTCTCGTACAAGTCCCTTTTTAGTATTAACTATGTTAGAGTCCCATAGCTGTTATTCTCAGTAAATCACTTATTGTATCTTATTTGTAATATCATAACTTATTGCTGCCTTAAATAAATAATGTTCATTCACATACTCCTCCAGTGTAATCATTGCCCAAAGCTCCCAGTTGCTTAGCAGCCCTTCTGGCTAGATAAGCGACCACAATACTGGTGTCAGGTGTAAAAGGATAGGGTTTAAATAAGGAGAAGTATGTCTTAGCTCTAAAGGTGTACTTAGGTCCACTTAGTTAACGTAGATGAATAATTGTGAAGACGAAGATTTTTGTTTGATATTATTTTGCATTCATGTGTGTATTTGGTTGATAATATTGTTACATATTTAAATGACTGTTGACTAAGCATGAGGCAGTATTAAAATGGAATTTAGCAGTATTAGTTATTAGGGCCATGGCATTATGCTACCAGTTGTGTAAACAAGAAATTTTTAGTAGATTTTATGCCAGGGTTGCCGAGTGTGGGCACAAAGTATTATTGTATACAGTCACAGACGATATAGTTAAAGGGACGAGCGAAGTAAGGTGTGAGAAGCTTGTTGGGGATCAGAACTTTTCGAGGAGCAGAGTGTTGTCTCAGCAGATAAACCAATTTTGAGTTATCAGCATTTCCTAAAGTACTTTATTGGTTCACTCACGAGCAAAGAGGGGTATTATTTTACATGTGGATATAAGGCCTTCATTTATGATTATTGTAGTGAGTAGTTCTTTGTAAGCATAAATGTGGGATGGTCCGGGGCAGCCTGAGGAACCCGACATCGTTGATGTAATAAAAGAATTTTTGGAGGAATTGCGGAAAGCGGTACCTGTTGAGGTGTACAATCATTTAGTATATGTAAATATGTATATGTAAAAAAATATGTAATATTAATGCAGCATTTTCACAAGATGATTGTGAACTGGCCAGTGTAGATATAACGTTATCAGCAGTGGCACGATAGCCTTATCAGTGGTATTTGGCATAAATTAAATTCTTTTGGGACGCGCTGGGAAACAGGGGATCGAGGACTGGGTCAGGTGGCAGTTTTAGGGACCCAGGGGGAGTTCGAAAGTTTAATACAGCACCTAGGGAGCCGTTGAGCGCAGGGGGATATACGACCACGTTATTTACGAAAATCGGGATGCGTTCAGCGGTAATCACTGCGTATTACGAACACTTGCCGACGGCGGAACACACAGTGGTGAAACGTGAACCACAAAAGGGAGCCTTAGGCCCTGTACACATAAGAGCGGCAGCCGCCGCGGTAGCCGCCACGGTAGCCGCCGCGGCGGCCGCATAGGACCGTACACATGGCTGCGGCAGCCGCGGTTGTGGTGTGATTTTCGGCTCCTCGAAACCCTCGGACACAACAGCCAGTACAGTTATGGAGCTGGAAGAGTTAACCTGCCTTTGGTTATTGCATCGAAGATTAAAAGCAAGGCGAAGTCGATAAAGGAGATGGTGGGTGCACTCTGTAATAGACGACAGATTAACCTTGGGTTCATTTGTTACTCTGTACCCAAAATTAAGAGAATACCCTACTTAGTTCTCACACTACCACTACACGAACACACAGGCGATGTCCACAGGGCGAGCGCGAAGATGCGTGTGACTGTGTGATCCTAGTACCAACCACAGGTCAACCGCGGCGGCTACCGCCTTCATGTGTACGCTCTCATGCCAACTCAAGTAACTCCAACCGCGCGGGAGCCGCGGCGGTCGAAGGAAAATCCACGACCGCCGCGGTTTGTTGCGGTTGACTGGAAGTAGGCGGTTGCATGTGAACGGTCCCATTTGCTCCTTTGTACTTTCAACCGCCGCGACTATTCCCGCGCAATAGCAACCGCTGCGGCTGCCACCCTCATGTGTACAGGGCCTTAGCCAAAGCGATACGGTCAAAGTTACAGTTACCTGAACTTCCCGAGGAGCGTATCTACGAGACACCGAAACACAGTAGGGATGCAAAACTTTATTTACCCGGATGTTATTTTGGAAGGGTGTGAGGCGTAATTGAATTCGCTGGTTGAAAGGATAATCGAGAAGTATATTAACGACGGTCGGACGACGTACACCAATGAAACGAACGTGAGACGAGTGGAAGTGAACAAGATAGTAATTGAATTTCATTAAATTAATTATTTCAGTCAAGTAAGTTAATATTTCATTGAATTCTAATCAGTAAGTCAATCAAGTGAGTCGCGACAATAGTGTCGTGGAACTTTGTAATAGGGGTCTTTGTCGGTATCGGTACGTGTGTGGTAAGTGGAATTGTGTTTGTATACTTCACCTGGAACATGGGTGCGTCGGCTATGTGTTACATTAGGCACTCATTGTCGGTGTATTGAGATAAAACATTTTGGTGTGGGCGTTTCTAGGTATTAAAGATAAGTAAAGATCGTTAGTTGGATATAAGTGTAATCATTGCTCCAAGCTCCCAGTTGCTTAGCAGCCCTTCTGGCTAGATAAGCGACCACAATAGAATGAAAACTTTGTATGTGTGAAAGTAATAAAAATGCTACTGGACGATGTTTATATTTGGCTGGATTGTTCATCTCAGGCAAAGCTTACAGTGTCGACCGGTGGGACATCGAGCATATTTCTGAAATGTTTTAAACCGTGCTAGGAATTTAAAAAAAATATTTTTTGATAATGTTTTCAAAACATTTAAAAAAAATTTGATCTCTAATGAATGTATAAAATTAACATTAAAACATTAAAATTGCTCATCCGTCTTTAGTTTCAGGAACAAAATTCACTCATTTTCCTATGCAAAAAGAACTTCACTCCAACATCAGAACCACTAGAAACAGAGCGTTCATTATGTTATTCTATGCAGAAAGGACTTCAGTCCTGGACTGAACCCCCTATTGCATGGAATGTGTTCTGTATTCATTGATTCATGGCATAAAGAAAAATACGGCAATGGTACTGTTCAATTTTATTTGACTATTTGAAATATTGTTTCTCAAGAAGTAATGGTTTTTTCTGATAATCGTTCTGGTCAAAACAAGAACCACACATTATCTCGTTTATTGTTGGCCTTAACTCAAACAGGTCAGTTCCAAAAAATAGAACAGTTCTACCCTGAGAGTGGACACTCCTGTTTCCCATGCGACCGAGATTTTCCCATGATGAAAAGGGAGTTAAATAAGCACAATTGTTTGTACACCTTGAGAGAGATAGCTGAAAAGGTTATTAGAAGCAGTAAGAAAAATAAATTTAGGGTGACACACCTCGAGTCAGAAGATGTAGCTGACTTCAAAAGTTGGTGGGAAAAATACTTTAGTTTCACACTCAACAACCTGCATATCCCGGAGGTTAAGTTCCCATAAAGAAAAACAAAATTAAGGATATAAAAAACTCATTACTTATGTGCCAGAAGAATATAAACAGTTTTATTTTGACATATCTGAGTAGCCATGTGTAGAACATATCGATGTTGACGTTCAAGATGACTTGGCGAAACTTATTAAGATAAAGACAATGTCCATGTCCAGTTTGACATATTGTAATTGATTTTAGAATACAACAATGGTTATTTGAACCGAGTTATATGTCTTTTTATATTATTACACCTCTTAATATTATAATAGGCTATTAAAAAAATGTTTAAAATACCATAATATTTCGGTTAAAACATTATGAATATGGCTTTCCATGCAAAAGGGGCTTCGGTCCATGGTATTCAAAAATTGATATACATAATAATATTAAAATTATTACAATCTGTGGTTATGATTTGTAATGATATAATACACTCTAGAAAAAATGATTATCATATTATGATTAACCGTTTTATAATACACTAGTGTACCTGTTGCACGAATTCGAGCAATTTCGAAGCATTACAGGCGTTATTTTAGAACAAATAACGGTCATAATTCCGATGACTTTATAAAAGTCGACTCAAAGATTATGGAAATACTCACGATGTACACAACAGTTAGATATAATCAAAATTGTTTGTAAATATCTTATCTTTCTCAAAAGTTGATTTTGTTTTTTAGAGTTTTCTACGAGTGTTTCCCACTCATAGCCGCATTAGGTTCTCTATAATAACGATTATAAATTAAAAAACACATCATTTCTATT